GAGCAGTGGGTGTAGACACTTTAAAAGTCTCCTTTGCCTGTCTGCAAGAAATGATGAAGCTGCACCATGTGCATTAGAATTTCTTTGTTCTTGCAAAGTGGAAGTTTGAGCCTGTGGTGCAGAAAAATTGTGGATTTAACTTTTGGCCAGGCCAACAATGAAAGTGCCATTATACTTTCCTCAAGAGTTCTTCCACCACACTCCCCACTGAGCACCTCCCCACTACAGCCACCACAGCAAGAGGCAGCAAGCTCCCCAAGTGGAGCAGGAGCTCAGTAGGAGCTGGCAGCTCCAGACTGGGCGAGGACCTCCCCACAGTCCCACATTCCTGGGCAGTCTCTTGTAATCTAAGAACACTATTTTTTGCCAGATCTTTAGGGGTGGACTCTGGGAAGGCTCAATTGTTAAAGCACTCATGGATTAGAGTCCATAATGAAAAGGTATATATAGAAATTTTTTCCGGTCCCTCAGTTTTGGGATCAGGAAACCAAAGACATGTCTCTTTTCTTTTCTTCTCTTTTCTTTTTTTCTTTCTTTCTTTCTTTTTTTTTTTTCAGAATCAGGGATTGACCTTAGGGTCCTGCACCTATCTGGTGCCATTGAGCTACATCCCTGGCCCCAAGGATACGTTTGTTGAAAGAAATTTAAAAACTTTGCTAATTGGGACTTCTTAACATCAGACCCTTTACCTCTGAAATGTGCCTCAAGCATTTCTGTATACAGATGTGGCTGAGCGATCCTGATTGCCCCATATTTTACACCTAGTGAATTTTCAATCCACCTCATCCCTAACTTATTCATGCGCACATACACCCCGAGGTGTCCCCTCACCTAAATCTGCAACCCCCCCAACCTCCTGCTGGTTTCCTCTCTGGTTCTTGCACACTGCCTGCTTTGGGTGCCAACTGCCACAGCCTGCATGGCTGAAGGGTCCACAGAGTGAGAATAGTGGTCGGGGATGAAGAAAAGGAAAAGAACAAAGAGATCCAAAGCTGGGGCCAGGTGGGACTTTTTCTCCTGATGGGAGAAAAAGACTTCCAGGCAACTGCACCCCATTTATTTATAGTGGTAGAGATAAGGGAAGTGCAGAGAGAGGTAAAAGGGGCTGGTCTGTAACTGGAGCCAGGAGAGTAGCTAAGGTCTGCAGAACATCATGCTTTGATGGTTTTATGGGGAAAGGACAAGGAGGAAGGCACATCCTCTTCTCGGCCAGGCCTCGCTCATCACACCCTCTTGTCACCTGTTCTCCCACGGGCCCTGCCTCATCTGTGGGAGGAGGCGAGTTAGGCCTGGCCATAGTGATCTACAGTGCCGAGCTCCCATCATGGGCTCTAATGATGTCTCTTTGGGATTTTATATTAAATTTAGGAATAACATAAATCATTAACAATTATGTTTATCTGGGCATGGTGACACAATGATTGCATTTCTAGCTCTCAGGAGGCTGAGGCAGAAGGATTGCTAGGAGTTTGAGGCCAGCCTAGGCTACAAAGTGAGTTCAAGGCCAGCCTGCACTACATAGGGAGACTCTGTCTTGAAAAAGCAAACAACAACAAAAAAGCAAACAAACAAAACTATTAGGTTTATTGCAACATAATTTGCTTATAATCACCAATTTTGTGTGTGTGATTGATGCCCTTCTGCTTCTTTGTAGTTAATTACCTCCCCCACATTATGCTCCTGGTCTGCACTGCTCTGCTTGCTGTCACTATAAACTGGCCTTTTCTTTTTCTTTCTCTCTTTGTTTGTCTCTCTGTCTCTGTGTCTGTCTCTGTCTGTCTGTCTCTCTTTCTGTATTGAGGATTGAACTCTGCACACCGAGCCACATGCCCAACACTTTTTTTAAAAAACAGGATCTCACTAAATCAGCTGGGTTCCCAAGCTGGGTTCAAATTTTGATTCTCCTGCCTCAGCTTCCTAGAGTGCTGGGATACAGATGTGTAAAACCATGTTTGGCCTTTTTTGTTTTTGTTTTTTTGCATGCTAAGGTTTGAACTCAGGGCTTTGTGCATGCTAGTAAATGTGCCTTTTAAAAGAATTTTATATAAATGGAATCGTGTAACATGTAGAATTTGTGTGTTTCTTTTATTTAGCATAGTTCTGAAATTATCCATGTCATTGTGTATTATCAGTAGTTCACTCTTTTATGGTTAATTATATTGTATTCCAGTGTATAGAGAATCCATAGTTTGTTTATCCATTCAGAAGTTGGATATGTTGTTTCTGGTAGACCATTATTAATTCAATATTATAAACATTTGTATATAAGTATTTGTTTGAATATGTTTTTATTTCTCTGGCAAATATCTAGGAGTGTGATGGCTCAATCACAAAGTGCTTTTAAAATTTTTAAATTTTTATTTTATTTTTTTAAGATAGGTTCTCACTATGTAGCCCAGCCCTACCTCAAACTAGTAGTGACCCTCTATCTCAGCCTCCAGAGTGCTGGGATTACCAGTGTGTACCACCACACTCACCCTAAAGATATTTTAATAACTGTTTCATGACATGCTCTAGGTTGGCCTGAAACTCCTGGGCTCAAGTGATCCTCCTGCCTCAGCCTTTGCAGTACTATGCCACCACTTCTAGCTTTTCTGCTTACTTAAAGGAGCAGCTTAGATTGCTGATTTGAGACATTTCTTCTTTTCCAATATGTCCAAGTGGTGCCACACATTTCTCTTAGCATGACAGAACAGCAACTGCTTCTCAGAAATGTGAAATGTCATGCTTTTGCATTCATTCAGGTCAAAATACATTCTAATTTCCCTGTTGACTATATCTTTGATTCATAGGTTCCTTAGAAGTGTATTAACCAAATAGTTGGTGATTTTCCAGATAGCAGACTATTTTTTATTTCTAGTTTAATTCCATTATGGTTGAAGACATTCTTTGTATTATAATAATAATACACTGTGGTTGGGCATGGTGGTGCCTGTATCCAAGCACTCCAGAAGCTGAGGCAGAAGGACTGCAGGATGAGGTCAGCCTGGGCTACATAAGGGAGACACTGTCTCAAAAGCAAACCAAAAAGTTATTTTTCTTTAGCAGTCAATTTTCTTTTTCAGTTTTCTTAATACATAATTTATATGCCATAAATTTTTTTTTTTTTTTTGCAGTACTGGGATTGAACTCAGGACCTTGTGGTTGCAAGGCAGGTGCGGTGCCACTGAACTAAATCCCTGGCTGGAGGTGACTGTTTTTACTGCACAGTTCTCAGGGTTTTGATACTTCTGTGCAGTTAAGTAATCAACACCATGACCAAGATGTAGAAGAGTTCCATTGCCCACAACCCCCCCTCCCTGTGATCCCCCCCTCTTCCTACCGGCAGCCCCTGGCAGCAGCTGGTTTCTTTCCTGCCTCTATAAGGGCTCTTTGCAGGAATGTCATATAAATGGAACCACACACCGGGTAGCCTTTTGAATCTGGCTTCTTTCAGTTTAGATTCATCTGTGTTATCAGGTTGATCAGGTAGTGCACTTATTTATCCATTCTGCAATTGAAGGACATTTCAGTTTTTCCATGTTTCACTTAAAAATGAAACCACCATAAAAACTTGTGTCCTAGCCCTGGGGAGCTGAGGCAGAAGGATCACTGCAAGTTTGAGGCCAGCCTGGGCTACATAGTAAGTTCAAGGCAAGCCTGGAATACCTAATTAAACCCTGTCTTATAAAGAGCCAAAACCAAAAAAACCAGGTACAGGTTTTAGTGAACATAAGTTGCACTCTGCTTGGGTAAATACCTAGGACTGAGATTGCTAAGTCACAGTGCAAGGTGTGTGATTAACTTTTTTAAGAGCCAAGTTATCTTGTTTATATTAAGGGTGGGTGGTGCAGGCATGGAACCCAGGGCCTCATGTGTGCCAGACAAGTGCTCTACAGCACGGTAATACACTCCCAACCCTCAACTTATTAAGGGTTAAAAATGAGAAAAAGCTTTTTATATACTATATCTATATGTTGATCGTTTCCAGCACTCTTCTTTTTCATGTGGTAAATCCAAATTTCCTTTTGCCCGGCTGGGGATTTAGCTCAGTTGTTCCACCCCTACCTTGAAAGTGCAAAGACCCGAGGTCGATCCCTGGTACAAATAAACAAGTTTCCTTTTTGCCTAAATAACATTTTCAAGTATTTCCTGTAGTGAAAGCCTATGGATTCTGTTCACCTTTGCTTTCCTGGATGACTCTATTTTGCCTTCAGGTGTGAAGGTTTTTTTTGTCTGTGTGTAGTGTTGGAGGCTGAAGGTCTTTCCTTTACAAGCCTCAACTCTGGGACTGCACAGTGGGCAGCCAGCCCGAAAGTCACCCATGTCCTGATCTCCCTGAGCTGGGGACAGAGACCCCAGGACAGCTCAGGGGCAAGGCTAAGAAATGGGGCGGCAAGGCAGGAAGGCCCAAGGTGTGGGACTGCATAACCTTTGTTCCTTTTTCTCCAGCCCCATTGTGATTAAAATGTGAGTTAATAGATGGAGATGCTTGTTAGTCTAGGGACACTAGATAAGGATCTGTAACAGACCTAGAGTCCCAGAGTAAACTACTCAACTCTTTGTTTATCCAGAACTGATATTCCAGGCACCACAATTGTTAGAACAAGCTTCAGATGTCTGCTGACCATCAATTTGTGACAGTCGACCACTAACCTTTGTCCCCTTTTCTTTAA